CTCAAGTCCTGAGTGGCTAACAGAAAGGAAGAGTCTCCCCATGTGGTAAAGAAGAATGAGAAAAATATACACCCAAATGGCAGGGGAAGAGTGTGTGTGTGATTGTGGTGAAGAGGAACAACAGTATGGGTGTGGTGTGTGTGTGTTTGCATTCAGAAAATGGTTAAGGATTAACCAAATGAAGAAGTCAATTGTAATAAAATCAGGGAGAAAATCTTGATGCCTTAAGAAAATAGCATAGGAGGAAAATCATGGTCGTGGTAGATGAATGGAGGAGCAGAGACTTTTCCAAATTCGCTCTAACCACAACAGCAAACCCAGCTCTTCCACCTTCTGTTATTAGCCCATGTAACTCCTTTTGCCTGTGACTGCAGCAGGGATGATACAGAAGAGTCGTTTCTTTACTTCAGAGGAGACCACAGTAGTAACTGCTGAGTCTGCCATTATAAGATAGGGAAACATTGCGAACCCCCCTCCCAGCAGGTAGTGACTGTGGGTGGAGGAAGACCTTGTACACTGAATGGGAATGTGAGAGAGCCCTGAATGTTGACAGGAGGGCAGGGAGTCGGTGCCAGAAAGAGGAAGATTAGACAAAATTGGCCCTGTATATATGAGCATGAACACAGGAATTCGCATGACTGTGCCCTCCACTGACCCACCATCACTACTCCAGCGCCTTCCAGATGCTCCATCTGCCCACAGTGATTTCTCCAGACCGGACCTGTTCAGCTGGGGATCCATATTTGTTCAGTTGTTGTTTTTTCTAACTTTTAAAGCTTTGATTTTTATGCAGCCTTGCAGAAATTTTGACTTAGTGTTGAATGTTGTCAAAAATATTCTGTAAGAGTTTTTTCTCCAGGTTTGAAAAATAAAAGCTTCATCTGAGTCAGTTCCTGCTGTACCAAGTAAGATAACAGTAGGGCACACATGAAAGTGAAAAATGGAGGGAAAAATGAAGAAACTGGCAACCACAGGTGCCAATTCAAGCATCTGAAAATTATAACCGAGCAACCTAGTCCTTCACGAGGTTCTTTCCCAACACTTTGCTACTTCCTCCTCCCAGGTTCTCCATTTTACCACCACTGTGAGAATTGTATGGACCCTGGTGGGATAGGGACAGTGAGAGAAAAAATACTCATTTTGGACACAAATAGTTTTGACTCCTTCCATCTTGGTAAAAATATTCTCATGTCCCAAACTGTTAGTTAGTCCTATAGTATCGCTGTAAAAAGAAGACATTGATCCATGATGATTTTTCAGTCCCTGGATGGCTCATGATTCTTCTCCACTCTGAAAGCAAATAGAAACAGGAATGAAAACTCCTCCTAGCAAAGGTTGCAGCAAAAGGACTTTTTCATGAAAATTGAAGTAATGCTGGATAGCAATGTGAAAACTCTTAAAGACCAAACCAAGCCATTGTCCCTTTCTGCCATTGCTTCTACCCAGACACCATATATCAAAGTGATGCTAAGCCACAAGGTCCTGTTTGACTTCTCACCAAGTATCAGTCACCAAGCAGCATTTTACCTAATCCTCCTAGATGAGAAACTGCCTGAAGAATTCCTACTTGGGTCACCTCCCAGTTGCATCGATCTAATCCACTATATCAGAGCTGAAAATGAAGTCTCTTGAGTAGTACACAATGGTGTTGCCACCCTCTTTTCATTGCTAAGGCTATTATGAGCACATAAGACAAGCTCAGGTCTCTATTCCAGTTCAGAGTTGGCTTCCAATGGCAGTTTAGGTTTTAGGCCTTAATCAAACACCAACTACATTAATGGCCATATTTCAGTTGAGGGACCTCAACAGCTCGGAAGCACCAATCCCAGAAAGAAATTGATGAGAGCTGTGGGCAGAGGCAATATGACTGAGGTGATTTTGCTCTAAAACAAAATTTGAAAGTGAACTTAGAGCCTTGGCCATCCCTAGAAAGGTCTATAAAACCTTGCTGCTCACAAAGTCTTATCAGTACAGCAGGACCTGAACTCAGAGTGCTGATGCCTCCTCCTCAAAAAGAAAGAAGGAACAACATTGTCTTATTCCAGGGGAGGTTTTCCCCATAGAAGAGACAGAACTAGGTACTCTATGATGTCCATAAGTGTCATCATTATTTAGCATGTATGCATAAGGAGCAGACAGTCAGCCAAGGGGCAGCAGAATAACAGCAGGAGATGGAAAGATATGAGAACATGGAAATATTGAATTAGAGAAAGAGAAAAAACTCACCAAGTTTCTGCTGAAGGTCACCTGAGACAGAATCAGAAAGAAAAACACACTGATTGAGTCTCTCAGTGGCTGGAATTAACACCAACCCTCTCAAGAGAAAATCTGTTCAAAGACCACAAAGGTCTGGTCTACAAAGATCAGGTGTCCCAGCTAGACAGAGTGAGCTATAAGGTTTCATAGTTTCTAGGGTTGGAAGGGACCTGAGTACATCATCTACTCCGACCCCCTCCCATGGCAGGAAAGAGTACTGGGGTCAAACGACCCCAGCAAGGTGTACATCTAGCCTCCTCTTAAAGACCCCCAGGGTAGGAGCCAGCACCACTTCTCTTGGAAGTTGGTTCCAGATCCTAGCTGTCCTGACCATGAAGTCACACCTCCTGATATCTAGCCTAAACCTACCCTCTGCCAGCTTGTGACCGTTATTCCTGGTCACTCCTGGCAGTGCTCAGGGTAACAGGGACTCCCCCAGTGCCTGCTGGTCTCCTCTGACTAGTTTGTAACAGCCCACTAGATCCCCCTCAGCCTTCTCTTGTGGAGGCTGAACAGGTTCAGGTCCCG